ACACACACACACACACACACACACACACACACACACACACACACACAGCCATGGAGTAAAGAGTGATTGTGGTGGTTCGATAGTACCTAAATAAGAGCTGACTTACAGGTTTGAAGATCGCTTCATAGGACTCATCGTCGATGCCGTCTCTCAGCGGGTAGTTTACTGCGTAGTACTTGCCCTTTCCAGCTCCGATGTCCTGCACACAGTGGAGATAACTGAATTACAGCCCACACGTTACACAGATGACCTTAGAAGGAGAATTAGAATGAACAAACCCACCCGCAGGTCTCCGGTACCGGGGAAGTACTCCCCATACTTGTGGAAAGAGACGGTCATGACCCGGTCTGTCGTGTAGAAGGCCTCCTCCACTCCATCGCCGTGATGGATGTCAATGTCTATGTATAGGACCCTCTGGTGGTACCTAGAGAGGAGAGAGCATCCAGTTAACATCTTCAAAGCTCTGTGGAGTAAAGCATGTCATCCGCAGTGGGACTTTACAGGCTGTAAAAACGCAAGACACTTTAAGATAATGACGAAGGCAGCAAACAGAAAGGAGAAATATTTGATTGTGTGCATCAAAAATAAAGCTCCATGGCAGCAGAAGATCTAATTCAGCTAAACCTGATCTAAAATGTACACGCACTGACAGATCAGCGGAAATGCAGGATGATTCTTTTTAAAAAGGAAGAGAGCAGCTTACTTCAGCAGCTCGAGAATGGCCAGGACGATGTCGTTGACGTAGCAGAAACCCGACGCCTCAGACTTCTTCGCGTGGTGGAGTCCGCCGGCCCAGTTGACGGCGATATCCGTCTGCTGCTTGTTCAACTTCAATGCCCCAGCTAGAGTAAAAAGTTAACAGAGGAAAGATACAATATGGGTTAAATGGACGTCAGTGTGTTGATCCAAATATCCTTTATCGTCTTCACATTTATAAATGTGCTTTATAGATTTTCCGAGCACATCTGGACAGCGCTGCGTGCACATGTTCTCCACAGTGAGGGCTACCACAGGTAGACAGCATTAGCTAGTTTAATTTAAGGACTTTACTTCTGATTTATTCCATGCACATGTCATACATGTCCCACTCGCTGCAGGCTGGTGCACCAGGGGGATTATGGGACGTGTGGTTGGCATAACTCACCGACAGATCCACCCGTTGAGAGCTGGCAGAACTCAAACAGACCATCGAACACCGGACAGTCTTCTCCGACATTGACTGTAAGAAAAAGAAACAGCAAATTCAACATTTGTGAACAGCAAGAATACTTCGGCGTCCATTGGAGGAAAAGCGGACACTCACATCGCTGCATCTGTTTGCTGTACTCAGACATGTTGTCGGGTCGGATGGACCTCAGAAACTTAATGTAGTCATCACTGTGGTATTTTGTCATCTCCTCACCGCTGGCTTTGTGCGGTCTCTGGAAGCAGAAAGAAAGATGAGGAGGAAAAGTGACTGCTGCCACTTCTTCATTCAACAGCAGCCATCGGGTTTGTCTGATTTTAACACGTTTTATGCAAACATTCTCTGAGTGGCTAGTCTCTATTCAGACAAGGTTATCCACATATTCAAACACAAACTAATGGACTAGGATAGCCAACCAAATATAAAAAATACCTGCATGACAGTGAGAAACTAACAATTAAAACATCTTAGTCAGCAGGCAAATAGCTGCCAAAGCTTTCTGGATCAAACTCACTCTTTTGAATATATGTTGTGCACATGCATTACTAACAAGACTGTACTTATTAGACCACATCAAACAGAAACATGTGACACACTGAATGGTTCATGATGAATATGTGTACCATCACCCCTACTGCTGTCCATGTGACCCTTACTTTTTTAAAGATTATGATGCAATATACGATGTACGTATCCGAGTGTCGGGGGCTTGTGTGGAGTGATATAACTCACGTAAATCTCCATTTTCCTGTACAGTCCATAGTTGAGGAGGAGGTTGTGCGTCATGCGGATCCTGTGTGGTTTCATGGGATGGCCCTGGCCGTAGTAGTAGTTCCCCACATCCCCTGAAACAGAAAATAACCACCCAGACAAGTTCACATCACAAAATCTGCTTGAAAAACTATTGCCACAATGCAGTTAGTCTCTCCTTCATGCCAAACTCCATTCATACCTAGATTACCTGCAGATTGTATGTAGCTTATCGGTACACAAAGTTCGACCACCAAGCAGTTTTTATTGCACGGTTTCTCCTCATGTTTGGACACTGACATGACCCGATATTAAAATGTGAGATATATAAATAGGTCAGCAACGTACGTAATTCGATTTTTTTTCCAAACATAAACACAAACAATAACAAAGTGGAATTTAAAAGCTCGACGATGCGCACATTTAATACAAAGCGTTTAAGGTACTTTCTTCACTTAACGTGCACACGATATCTCACGTTAGCATTTTCTTTGAGTGCAAATGCATCGCAAAAAAAAGGAAATGCATTAAAACTTAACGACACATAACGTTCCTCTATATATTGAAACTGATAACCGGAAGTTCTTAGCAATTTGGGAGAACACTGATGAGATTAGCGACGTTAGATGTGTGGCTCCTCTGTTCTCAGAAAAAAGAAAAAAAAAACACCGCTACATATCCACACGTCACAATCCAATAACAGCATTTTAACGACATTAAATACATTGTTCTGGTTATTGGATAACTTGAAACTGAGATGAACACCGAGCTAAGCAAAGGCTAGCTAGCTAGCCGGTGTAGCAAGCTAACGTTAGCTACACCGGCTAGCTAGCTAGATAGCATGGTCGTACTGCACACTTTAAAAAAACAAAATACACGTTGAATTTCCTGAACATCTACCGCTGCAATCTGAAGAAACTGAGATGCACACGTTGGGTATTTACCGTCATAGTAATAGCAAACTTTTTTCTTTGTTCCTTGAGACAGCGCCATTTTACACCCCCCAATTACTCCACACTGTTAAGTGCCCACCGGCTCTCCTCTCGTCTCGTGCACCAGGGAACTATAGCGATGAGAGTCTCGTCAACCAATCACAGATGCTCGACCCGCCCGGCTGAGAGGCCCCGGTGTTACAAACCAAAGGACCCGCCGAGGTTGCAGCTCCAACCAGACAGTGTCTAGACTGGAGCCTAAAACAGTGACACAGAGGGAAAGCTAATTTGTAATATCTACCACTTTATTGTCAGTAAACTGGACTATCAGTTGATGTCATACATTGAGCAGCTCCTTCAGTGTGGTTCCTCTCTGCAGGGAAGTCATAAGTCCCTGGGGTTCAGTGGCATGCACCATTTAATTGTGCTCAAGGACATTGGTATGAAGTTATTCAAAATAAAATAACCCCACTTCTACACGTTGTGGAACTTGCATGCAGGTCCATCCTGACATCCCACACCACGTCACACCAGAAACACCATTACTTTATTTGTTTGCCAATTTTGCAATTAATGTATTATTGATTGGGTGACTTAAAATCAGAAGCCCGCCTCACTAACACTGCTTGCCTTGCCTGAATGTATCTCAGAACCCTTAATGTCAGCCTTAATAGGTTAATATAGTCAGATATAGTACGTATAGATGGGTTTCCTCTCCATTCATTGATGGTTTAGTGATCTAGTTTGAATTAAGTATAAATGTATCAATGCCAATTGCCTCCATTGTGTCATGCACGAGGCAACAAGAAGCCGTTCAGGTCTCGACCTTTAAAAACTGAAAATATCACGTTTTGTTTCATATGTTTCTCGACAACCTATTTCCATATTTATTGTATTTCATTAGTTTATTTGTCAGGAAAGGATCAAGAAGGAAAAAAACAGTAAAATGTTCATTTTCATCAGTTGTCCCTGCATGGCCTGACAACCCAAAAATAGAATAAAATGACATTTGCAAGCAGATGTATCTAATGTAGGTCATGGGATTTGACAAATAATGTCAGACGGGGACATGCACACATGCATGTTCTTACAACATAAGATCCGTACAACTTGAAACACAGCTGAATACATCATTTGAAGAATCTGTGAAATGCATGTTTTTCTAAAAGCACTTACTGCCCTTTTGTTTATGAAGCAGTGCATAATGAGACTGATTATGCACATATTGATGCAGGCTTGGGAAACCAGACAATAGGCGATCAGCTTCGTGGCGTTCCACGTAATGGCCAGCAGGTGGCAGTGTAAGCTCACGTGTGTTTGATTGTCTCCTCCAAATCTCTGAAGACTCCGTCATTGCTGAATGCGAAATGCAGCATCCTTGAGCCGATCAGTCACAGAGTACCATGCATAGTAAGCAGTGCACAGAGGATCAACTAAACACTGGAAAGACTAAACCATGAGTGATGTAACCTCACTGTACCTGCTGCCAGTGTATTTAGAATATTAAGAGTTGTGATGATTTTTGCTTGGTCTTTGAAGACACTTATTATAAAATAAATCTACAGTTTGAGCTCAATAAATCGTTTGGTCAGGAGGCAGAAGGCTGGATCCATGTGGAGGCCTCAGCTCTGTTTAAATAATTCAGAATCGTTTGGAGACTGGGTTCCAAATGTGGATCTCAGATCTGAACTCATATCAGCATGTGAACTAGGTCAGACCATCCGGAGCTGTGCTCAGGTAGCCATGTTCAGAAGGCCAGTCGCCTGCCTCAAATGGAGGGAATATTGTAGATGTGAGAGACGAGGAGGAGGAGCGAGTGGAGGCAGAGGTAATGGTGCTGATCTTGGGGCCATACGACTAATAGAGGGCCGGGGGGGGGGGGTCAGTGCAGCCAACGTGGTAGTGATGGTGTGTTCAATTAACTCCGAACCAATCGGCTACAAACATGTGGGTGTTCTCTTGTTTTATGGAGAATCAGATAATGACCCAATGGGGCGCAGAATCATTTGACTCTCACATCAGTTAAGATGCTGATGGACTTTTATTTGTTATTGTCTTTGTTGGATGATTGATTGTTTCTTTATGCTGAGGACAGCGGGTGTTTTATGCATTGAAAAGCACCTTGAGGTGATTTGTGATATTGGGCTGCATAAATAAAATGGACTCGACTTGACATGTTCGTTTAAATCTGGGCCAGAGTGAGTGATACTTACATGATAGAGCAGAGTAATGGCCTAATCAGGTTTATAGCTCTAATAAACCTTTTTTATCCCCACTGTGATGTGCTGTCCTGGGGTTAAAATATCTGTGTTGAATGACGGTTCCTTGTGAAAATGACGTATTAAAGCGAAGCTATATGTGCTGACTAGCAGCCACTGTGGCTACAGGTGAACTGAGAAATTCTGTATTTCATTGTTTAGTTTGTAAAAGAGAGAATGTGTTGTTTCATCTTTCAAAAGCTGCTTTAAATTGGGTTCTAGGGTCAAATATGTGAGGAAATCGGTGCTGCTGCAGCGATTTAAGTTTTTGTTTTTTTGTTTATTCTTTCATTTGTCTTATATGCAGACACCAAAGCAAAGTAAGATGTCAGAATCAATGAAGCGTCAGCCTTTAAACTGTATCTCTAATTTAAATTGTTCAATATGTGGATGAATTAACATGTTAAATCCCTAATTCCTCACTAGACTAATACTGACAATGGGTGTTTGTTGACAGTCCAGCTCTATAACACTGTTTGATATGAGAGGCAGGCCTCTCATACTACTTTCATAACACATGTAATGCATGATGTAAATAACCATAAAGACACACAAACGGGCAGGTAACCAACATTTATTTACCATTATCAACTTTACAATAAAACCAGAAACATCTGTCAACATTAGCAAAATAAAGAACAGAAATCAATCCAATGTATTTACAGAGACAAAGCAGATTCAGGCTCACATACGACAGATAAACAACTCTGCTTCATATCAAACCGCGACAGTGAACATAGCAAGCTTAAGTGTTCTTTTTTTTTCATAGTAAGGTAAAAATCAAAGTTGTCTATTTTTTTTTCTTTTCTTTAAACAAACAGGTAATAGCTTCTCTGAATCTTTAAGATGCTTCTCTATAATACACCACAAAATACTTCAAATTCGGGTTAAAATATAGGAATGTAAAAAGTTGGCGAGTCTCTTTAATTTTCTGATTTCATTATTATTATTTTTATTTTTTTTTGCTCTATTCAACAGTCATTTCAGGTGGTGGTGGTGTCCTAGTTTCTAGTTTCATTCCTTCAGCGAGGAGGCATCTTGATTTGCAGATTTTTTTTAAGGGAAAAGATGCTTTGACTCCATCCATCCTTCATCCATCTATACTTCATGGTGTCATTAGCTCGAAGCTCTAGCCATTAAAATCCAATTTCCACACAGCGACCAGCCCACAGCCTAAAAACTCAGTCCAGGTCCGGATGTCGAGCAGTAACCAGGGAAGTGATCTAGTGAATCTAGTCTGTCGTCTTGTTATCATGACGAAAAGTGGCACGTCGAAGGAGTCTCTCACATACATGTGTATATATTTACATATACATATATCCATATACATATGTATACATATACACATATATATATAAATATATATATATATATGCTCTTAAATTCTCTCTCTCTCTCTTGAAAAACAGTTCACCCAGTTCATTGTGAGCTTCAGGTACAATCACTCTTTCTTTTCAGAGGGAGCCGGGGTCGAGCTGCTCTCCTCTGTTGGTTTTGTAGCCTCGGGGACCGGGGCCGCGGCCTCCTTGGCCTCCTTGGCCTCCTCCTTGGGGGCCTCCTCTTTAGCCGGAGCCTCCTCTGCCTTTGGGGCCTCGGCTGCAGCGGCAGCCTCCTCTTTAGCCGGAGCCTCCTCTTTCTTCTCCTCCTTCTTCTCCTCTGCCGGAGCAGCGGCTCCGTTCTCGGCGGGTTTCTCCTCAGAGGGGCTGGCGGCGGCGGATGCGGTGGCGGTGGCGGCATCAGGCGCTTCCTCCTTCACCGCCTCGCTCTTCTTGCCCTTCTTCACATTCAGTTTGAAGTTGAAGGACTTCTTCAGGGAGAACTTCTTCTTCTTCTTCTTGGGGGTCTCCTTGGCCACAGCCTCGCCTTCGGGTTTGGCCGCCTCTCCATCCGCAGCGGGCGCCGGCTCGATGGCGTCTCCTTCGGCGCCGGCTTCGGGCTCCTTGGCTGCATCGGCCGAGCCGTTGGTGGCCGCAGCATCCCCATCGGCCTTTGTGGAGACATCCCCGTTGGTTTTCACATGTCCATTCTCCTGAAGACAAAAAAAGGTTGACAGAATAAGTCATCCGTTTCTAAAGCTCAGAGAGAGAATCATGTTTAAATGTAATAAAAAAAAAACTCTGTGCACATGCATGCGGCTATTTTAGAGGTACAGTTCTCATGTATTCTCAGAGCAGCGTCGTGCTCATCAATTAACCACCGTGTCGCCTGGCTCAGAGGCGACGCCTTGCAGTACCCTCATCCAGCGATAGGCGGCGGTAGCGCCTCGCAGACCGCTCAGGGTACCAGACAGACGTCGGCTCAACAAAAGACCAGACCGGAGCTCATCGATAGACGAATGAAAAAACACCGACAATCGATGCTTTTTTTTTATTAACCCAAATAATCAGTCTGAAACGAATTCTGCTCGATTGATATAATCAATAATAAAGTCGTTTTTGTGTCACTTGATAAGTATAAATAATGTCTAATATTAAACATGCATAATGATCCAATAGTGGTCCAAAGTATCACATGTATGACAAAACAAAACAGATATCGCTGATGAAATTTTGTAAAGCAAAATTGTTGCCCAGACGACAGCCAGGCTTGTGCTTTTAAACAGGGAGTAGTGCCTACGTGCGCGCGAGCTGCCCCCCATCCCCCTTTATAGCCTGGCACTATGACACGCGTTGTGCGGATTTTGGGTTAAAGCTCATTCACAAAAAAACACACAACTCAACGTGCGGTGTAACGCTTCATCTCAACTTGTCAACCGAGATAAATAACAAGAGTTAGCTCTTTTCTTTCGTTTTTTGGGGTAGTTTTTTGGGTTGCTCTGCAGGAGACAGCGATGCGTAAAAGCCCCACCTGACTTGCCCCAAAAAATGTCCTCACATTCAAGTTTGATCAATTCAGCGTCGACTAAATGTATTAAACTAACGTTTTCGTGTGAGCAAATCAAACTTGTATCAATTCGTATGTATTTCCATTGATAAAAAAATAAAAAGCGCACTAAGTGTAATTACCTGTCCGTTGGTTTTGACAGCTGCACCGTCGGCGGCTGCAGCGCTCGCCTCCGCGGCCACATCTCCCTTGGATGCCTGGGATCCCATTGTGTTATGTGAGTCTTCCAAAGCAAATTAAAAAGAAAAACTAAAAAAAGAGTGTTCTTTTTAACTTAATCCAAACCCCAGGGCGAGTTACGTATCCAGCGGTGTAACGATGAAAAGTGTTGGTTGTTTTTGTATTTTTTGGTGTGTTTTTTTTCTTCAAACGGCAGGTACTTCCTCTCGGTTGCTCCTGTGGTCAGACTTGTCACCTCGCTAGAGAGAGACCCTCTAAACTCAACACTGGTTGAACACAACGCTTCAACATACAGCAGGTTCGAGGCGCCGCCCGTGGGCGGGACCCTGCTGAGGTCTGACCAATCAGCGTCCAGTCTGAGGGAACGTCTAGCCAGCTCTGACCAATCAAATCTTTTACTCCATAATTGTCCCCGCCCCTCAGGAGGACCCCCAGCAATGCAATTAATTTAGTTCAGCTCAATTCAGTGTTTTATAGGCTTATAGGTTTTTTATTAATTTAAATAATTTTCTGTCCTTTTATCAGTGTGCCTGTTACTGTTGATGTGCTCATTTACTTCTGTTGTTGGTTGAGTATTCAGTCAAATATGAGGAATATCTATCAGACATCGAGGTGATTATAAGGCAAGAATGAGGACTAATTAATGGATTTATTACAGCATTTGCGCTTGTTGTTTGTGCTAGTGCCTAAACAATGACTCGTAGAAGTTGGTGTAAACACAAACCTTTAATAGAAATGACTGACTGAGTTTTGAAACTCTGATAACTCTATTCGCTGTAGCCATTTACTTACACCGCATCCAGGTTGACTGATACATTGTGAATAAATAGCAGTAGTTTCCATTAGGGCTGCAATTAACAGTTATTTTCATTAGCCCACTAATTGACGTTTGTCTCGATTGATTGGTTAATGTTATCTCGAAAATGTCAGAGAGAAAGTGAAAAATGCCAAGTTGATGTATTCAAATTGCTTGTTTTGTCCAACTAACAGTCCCACACACAAAACATATTCACTTTACTATAATTAAGGATTAAGAACATGAGCAACAGCAAGCTGTTATTCTTTTCTAAAAAAATGTTGACTTACAAAAAGATATGAATGATAATTTTGCATGTAATCACCTGATGGTTTCAGTTCTAGTTTACCCTAATCCTCTCAGTTCATGGAATGAAGTAATCGCTGCACAGCAATAGTTTCACATTTGAGTATTTCTTAAGCAACCAGGGAAGTTTGTGTGTAAGTCACTTTTGGTGTCACTAACACTGAAGATGTCCACAGATCTTAAATTACACTCTGATGCAGCATTTAGTCACAGTTTCAGTCAAATCTAATACAACAGGTGCTGCTAGAAGCACATATTTTGACAGATATTTATGATTCAGGGTCCTGTTGTGAAACACAATGTGTTTTATTTGCCCTTTTTTATATATCAAATGTTGAAAATTCCCAAATGTTGATTATATATATATGCCTTACCAATATAAAGAATTATCCAGAAACAGGACACCTAGACGTACAACTCAACATGTGACTAATTTCCATTAGCTGTAGCCGGCCAGTTAGCACGCCAATGATTCGGAATAAGTGAGTTATGACGGTCATGAGATCGTGGTCACCGTCTCTCAGAAATAAGGGCAACATATGTGACAGATGACATGACACAGGACAGGAGTTTTGGCAAAATGTACAGATGAAATGTTCAGCAGGAGGAGATAGGAAATGAGGATTTTAAATGTTACTTCAGAGTTTATTGCGTCAACTTTCCTCTTCTTCTCTCTGTGTATCCGTCTTTGTCAGTACGAGCAGCTGCACAGTAAAATGGACCTACTTTTGTCAGACAATGGTGAATAAGAGTTCAAACTATTGTTCAATGTTGTGCTCTCATTGTGGGCATGGGGACATGGTGATCGTACTGGAGCACAGGATCAGTGTCGCGACCAACTGCATGTCACGCTGTCTCCTCATGGCTCCATGACTAGATTTTGTTGTTCACTTCCGCTTGTCAACAGCATACCAGCAGCAAAATATGTCAATGTGATGATCATGCACATTCCACCTGATCGTTTTCTCCCACATGCATTCCTCGCATCGACTGTTAAAGCTGCATATCTCAAGTTGCGAGAGAAGACTTCAGTGTTCAATGTCACAAATGATCGTTGCTGCGACCAATCAGCCTAATTGATTTCGCGAGACTCTGGAACGTTGGAATGCGTGTCAGCAGCCCGTCTTGATGCTGAAGCCTCCATCTCTCAGTGTCACATGTAAGTCAATGCAAACTTTGGCCACATTACATATGGTACATTACATTAGATAAAATGCAGTTATTGGAGTGTTCCACAGTCTCAGCAAACATTCTATCAACGTGGTAAATACCATATTGTAAATACAACATTATAACAGCAATCAGTTGAAGTCAATAGGCCAGTGTTGGCCAGTATATACAGTACATTGTATGGGCACAAATATGTAGACACATGAACAAACAATGCGAACATCTCAACACTACACCCATGGTTGTTGAAGATCTCATCTCAAAACCTTTGACATTAAAGGAATTATACATTTTCTTTGCTTATTTCCCTTCTTACAGAGAGTTAACTGAGAAGACTGATACTGCTCTCATATCAATCTTCTCATCTAACTCTCGACAAGAGAGCGATTATGCTTTTTTCCCAAAATATCTAACCATTCATATGATATGCTGCTAGAACAGCCTCCAGTCGTCTGGTGGTGGTGGTGGGGGGGCTTTCCATGCCAAACTCGGAAAATCATTTCTTTACGGACCTCGCTAGTTCATTGCATAGAGGCATTGTCAGGGTGAAACAAAGTGTTGCCACAAAGCTGAAAGCACACTATTGTCTAAAATTAAATTTCATACTTTAGCATTTTTTATATCCCTCATTTGAAACAAAGGAGCCTATACTCCAAAGAAAAAGAAAAGATGCCCTAATAAAAAGTAGGCCTACACAACTTTATGTTGTGTCCACAAACCTTTGGCTAGTTTGCGTATCTTGGTTACAAATGTTGAATTGTGTTAAAGGTGTGCATATGTGGAGACTGAGGAGAGGTAGAGTGCAAGATTACTCTTGTATTATTCACAAAAGTCTCGTAATTTAAATAAGTAGCAGGACATCACTAATGTAAAGAGGATTATTGTGGGGAGACGTAAGTGGTTTTATTACTGTGTTTTCAGGACTGGATTTGTGTTTGCATCCGAGTGTGATAAAACATCAATCGAGCCTCTTCGACTTTCCTTCGAAGAGGCACTCACTTCATCACACTGAGTGGACAACATTTTCTTACACACACACACACACACACACACACACACACACACACACACACACACACACACGTATCACGCTGCATCCATCTAGCTTGGCCTTGTAAATGTCATAATAATGTGTCCACTGTGTGCTGCTGTGGAATGCCTGGCACGCAGGCCGGTCCTGTCTCCTCAAGCCATCTTCTCCTGTGAATGGGCTTCTTCAGCCTGCTTGAGGTAACTCAGCCTTGGGGGGGGGGGGGGGGGGGGG